GAAAATCTTAAGTACATACCTCAAGTGGGATATTACACTCGCCTAACTCAACGATCATATACGCGATGTATACCCAGGTAATGATGTCAGTTGGAGATGAGCAATGTTGAACCGTCCGTTGAGTCGTCGACACTGCCATTTTCTTCTTAAGGCTCTTGGGTTTTTCAACCCACATTTCTGCAAGGAAAAAGGGAAACGAGTTTGTGATCAATTTGCGCAAGAAATCAAACACGAGTAAGCAACAACTTACCTTTTTCCAAAAGCGCTAAAAATCTAGTCTCGTCCCTACAAAAGCTGTACGCCTTTAGATGAGGAAGCGTAAGAAGCTCATGGACGTTGTGCGAACTATGAGGAAGATCTCTAAAACACTGCAACCTTTGCAAGCTAACCGTAGGGAGATAGTTCTGCTCGACGTTAATTGCAATAGAAAGTAATTCGATTAGATAATGAAACAAAGCTCAAAATTTGTCCTCGCATATGCGAGCGACCAAAGCCTTACTCGCTTCTGGAGCGAAGACATTGCTCGTCCTGGCTTCGTAGAAGAAGAATTAGGAATCCCAGTGTGGGACCTTCTTTGGGATATCGATCAGCCCGTTGAAACGTACTTTCCTCGCCTGGGAAAGGTAGTGCGACTGGCCTTGTCCCTTTTTGAGCCTGTACACATGGACAAGCTCTTTGACGAACGACTCACCTAGCTCAACGATCATGTACGCGATGTATACCCTGGTAATGATCAAGTAAGAATTGGCTGTTAGTTGAAGAGAAATGATGTCGAACCGCCTTAACACTTTATCAATGAAAGGGTGCGGGGGACTGGATACCTCGCACCTGAGGAGAGTCTTGGAAATTGCCACCCATCCAGCCAAAGGTTTCTTCTGAGAGTGCTCTCTTGGGGCCATCAAGTTGAGCTATGCCACATAGCTCATTCTGATGCGTTTAGGATCCTTGAGGGTGATCGAGGATTGTGGCTCTTTTCGGAGCCTATGAGCTGAAAATGGCAGGGAATGAGCCAGTTGGATCGAAGCATGATCAAACAAGCCCGCAACATAGGGGTTTGAGCTTCTAGCCACAAACTCTTTAGATATCTCGAGGGACACATCCCCTAGTACTGTCAAGCCAACCGGTGAATCGAACATTCGATATATTGTGCGATTGCTAGACGAGAACATGGTTGTAACTCAACTCTGGGTACCTGAAAAAAAAAAAAAAAAAAAAAGCAAACATGTGTTAGAGCTTGAACAACTCGACGACCATTCCACATTCGCTTCCATCTCAAGCACCTAAAATAGCTCGCACAACACAACGAAGTCACTCGACCTACCCAAGAAACCAATGGCCATTGTGATTAAATCCCTTTGAAACCTGAGACTGTCGGAAACACACTCCAAAAACCCTACTAAAATCTTAAAACATCCAATGTGGCCACTATATCAGCCACCCTTTAGCACAAAAGTTAGAAAAATAAGCAAGGAAGAGAAAGAAGTCTTACCAGAATAAAGAAGAGCGCTAAGAACTCACAAGAAAGACCACCGCGACGTCGTAAGAGCAATGGCAAAGAAAAGCAAGAGGGTGGAAGAAATTTCATAATGGCTGTTCTAAGTATTCGCCACCTTTGATAGTGATTTTTGCATGGAAGACCAAAAGGGTGAAGTTCAATCTCGATCATCAACTCACAACTGATCCTAGCGCTTCATTCGTTGAGCGATCTCAACCCTTGGATGTGGCCACGTGTCGACCATCCACAAGGTACGACGAACCGTAAAAAATGATAATCGTCATCGCACGACTCCTCAACTTTGCGCGTGAACAACTATTGTGACCCACGCGCGACGAAACCTAACTAATAAAGGTTGTCGCATTTAGTGTGATACGACCACGCATAAATTACATTTATACCCTAACTTTTTGTATTCTGAGTTTTGATAGGTGGCACAAGTAATAGTGTCCAAGCATGAGGAACGTCGACCAGACTTAAGGTCGGTCATGGAAGCCGGATCGAACACGCACTTAGAGACTCACTATTGAAGCCGAGCTTGGCGTCAGATCAAGCGATAGTCTTGGAAGCCCGAAACGAGCATCGAACACTAGGGGGCAAATGTTGTGTGTGGTTTTTTCGTCAAGCTTGGGCCAACACAAGGATGTAGCTCGACCCAGAATGACCTCGGCGACTATGATTGATTGACCCCGCATAAGTTCATCGAGCCGTAGCTCAACCCAGCACAAGTTAGTTGTGAACAATCTCAGGAATTAATCAATCAATCCCCAGATTACATCAGATCTCGGATATCGTGGGAATGATTGGATCAACAGTTATCATTGCGCGATCATAGTGCTTGATCGCAAGGATATCAGAATTGTGATTCAAATCATTTGTAATCTCCTTAATTTCGCTATTTCCTTTATGTAAATCTTGCATATAAACCCCCTAAAACTATGAGGAAGCAGGTGCGAATTCTGAATTATAACTATATTATAAGCTCTCACAGCATATACATAAAACACAGTGGACGTAGGCAGTTAACTTCGCTGAACCACTTTAAAAGTTCTCTTTGTCATTTGCTTTCTGACATTATCATTTACTCATTGTTGATTACCCGTAATAACACCCACATCAGTTCTGATCCCGATAAAATCGATTGAATCTCGCTGATTGGTATAAATTTCTGTATCAACACTAACAGATTAAAACTATAACTTTATAATTGCCGAATAATAATGTTTAATGGTGGTTGAACTTTGTAGTAGCAGTAATAGTTCACTCGGTCCAAAAGTCAAAGTCTTTAAATCAAAGAAACAAGTCAAGTAAAATTTTATTTTTATATTTAACAAATATTTTTCACGGGAATTTACTTGGACCATTCGTGTTTTCAAATGCCCCAAGACTCACAAAAGCGTTTAAATTGAAGATCCAGATCCAATTATCCGACTTTGAAGGCTCTTAAATTAAGTGGCCGTACTCTATATTACGACTGGGTCCAATTTCCAAGTCATAATATTTGTCTAGACTTTAAAATTGTAAAGACAAATTCCGTGCTTTTATAATTGCTTCACCTTTCCTGGAAGTTTCATAAATCTAGTAACTATCAGCCCCGAAAATTCGGTCTTCCATTTAATTAAAATCCAGAACCAGAAATGGGTACACAAGAGGTACTATTTCAAATGTCCATACGTACTACCTGTCAAATTTAAAGCAGTCCCTTTGTTGAGCAGACAAAAAATTACACTTTCATAACTACAAATAAAGCAACTGGGGACCGGTGCTGGTTGGTATAGTTTGTGAACCAAGAAGAAGCCCCTGGTACCGATCAGACGGTTGCCTGTCATTCTCTTTCACCAGAATGATGATGATAATGGGGTCAAAGTACAATGTATGCAAATCCAGTGGTTGGGATTTTCTGATAACAGAAATTTATTTTTCCAACTTGAAATACAAGTTTATTAATCTCACATGTTATGTTTCAACTGAACTGGGAAGACCAAGACTAGTTTAGCTGGTCTCCTTTTGTGTTACATAAATAAAATATAATATAAAGTATTAATTTGAAGGATCCCCGGAATACTTCTACGTACGCTATAATTGCTATATAATAATATAGAGTATAAATTAAAGAGTTGGTTCATAAATTTGTTAGATACGAAAAAAAAAAATTATAATTGAGTTGGTACTCTACTACTAAGATGTGATTCTTTGGTAAAGTTGGTGCAGTTTGGTCGTAGTACCAGCATTCATGTATGTTGGATCCTTAACAAATTTAATATGCGATTAATAAACATAAATTAATAAGTTGACTATTGTTATGCGTAAATCTCCGGAACACAGATTTACATCTTTTGTTTTCCATTAAAACAATATATAAGCTTACTTTTTATTCAAATTATGGATATTTTTCATTCCTACTATTGTAAGCCACACTTGTACGTGAAAGGGAAAAACAAACACAGAAAACAATACAAAAATAATAATCCTAAATCTCAAAGGGTTGGTTTGATGGTAAAAAACTTCGCTCCCTTCATTGACTTTCTGAGTTTAAACCACCTTGGGGTTACCTACCACATTATTTGTAACTTATCTAGAACATTGGACTTATAGAGTGTTCAATGGATCCTGATAGTTAATTAAGATACGCGTAAACTGATCTAGACACTCTAGTCATTAAAAAAAATAAAAAATAACCGAATCACTTTAAAAATCTCTTGTTATTTGTATTTTTAATTTATTCATTTATCCTGCATCTTATCAGGGATTCCAAACAATCCCTTGCATATATTTCACCAAGGGATCTAAGCACATTTCATTTGTGCAAATCTTAGCATGAACAATTAGATTAGTTAATTAGGTTCCAAAACGAAGCATCTCATGAAATTATTCAAATATTCTTAATTTTAGTGTCTAATATAAAGTTATTTTGACGGTTACTTTGTTACCATATTCAATATTTTTCTAATAAAGACGCGTAGACACCCGTATTGAAACTAGCAAGCAAAGCATAATTGTCACATAGACAAAGCTTAAAATCCTTTCCTGTGTAACGTTAAGGTGCATGAATGGTAATTAATTTCCTTAATTACATGATGATAATTTTGACAAGTTAATTGATGCATGCACAATTTCACATAGATTAAAGTCAATCCTATTAGGTTAATTTATATCTTACTCAAAGGGCATGGTCAAACTTTATGCTAATTTTGTTAAGCAAAATTTATTGAAGTCAACTATGTAAGAAGCAATCTAATTTAAAAACTTTGACCGCATGCCCAAATTGCTCAGCTACTTACCAGATGTTACCATGTAATCTGATGAGTATTTAATTTGGGAATTACTGATTTAGGGTTTAATTTAATCCCAAATTAATTTGAGATAGTCTTGATTAATTTTATTTTTTAATTTTCTCATACTTTGAACGCATTGGTCTATTGATTTGACTCTTTTCTTTGTTGAGAAAGTCATGCCCTCCTGATTTGAGTCTTTCTGTCCTTCATTTTTTGCTCTTAAAAATAAAACCTCCCAGCCTTTGGCTCATAATATAAAGCTTCAACTCAAAAACCCCTTCTTTCATACACAAAACAAATCTCAAACCCAACACACGAAAAGAAAACAAAGAGATGTCCCGACACCGCAAAAATTCTTCCTTCACAGCTTGCTTCTTCCCAACCACCACCGCCTCCGACCACCCGCTTGCTTTACCGGCTCCTCCTCCTCCTCCGCCGCCACCACCACCACCAATCTCCGGTAAGTTAAACCTCACGACTTGCCTTTATAATACAAGCCTCGGGCTTTTCTCCTTCACGTGGTCAAAAACATTCTTTGGTCACTCTCTTAATCTCAATCTTCATCCTTTTGACTTCACGAACTCTCCTCTTTCTTTCTCTAATAATTCTCTCTCTGATCCCTCAACTCTATCTTTTCACCTCCATATTAAGCCCTTTATTTTTTGGAAAAAACATGGATCAAAAAAGCTCGTCAATTACACTTCATCAACATCTGTAATCCAAATCTTTTGGGACCTCTCTCGAGCTAAATTCGGATCCGGACCCGAACCGGAATCCGGGTTCTACATCGCAGTTGTCGTCGATGGAGAAATTGCCCTTCTTGTTGGTGATTCTTCAAAGGAAGCTTATGCCAAAACCAAAGCTCACAAGCCAGAGCGAGCATCTCAAGTTCTTCTTTTGAGAAGAGAGCATGTTCTTGGCAACAAAGCGTACACCACAAAAGTCAAATTTGGAGGCAAAACGAGAGAGATTTCGATAGATTGTAGTGTCAACAGCGACGCGAAGCTGAGTTTTAGTGTTGATAACAAAAGGGTGTTGCAGATAAAGAGATTAAAGTGGAAATTTAGAGGAAATGAGAGGATTGAAGTTGATGGAGTTCCAATACAAGTCTCTTGGGACATTTATAATTGGCTTTTTGAAGACATGAACAACGGGCATGCAGTGTTTATGTTCAGGTTCGAAAATCTTGACAATCAAGAACAAGAAACACATCATCAACATAACGAAGAAGTAAACGGTGGTCATTATTTGCAACAAGGTTCTTGCAGCTTCGGTATGAGTGGAATTGAATGGAGAAAAATGAGGAAAAGTTTGATGAGAACAGCAAGGAGTTCATCTTCATCGTCCATTTCAATGTCATCAGCTTCTTCTTCTGGGTGCAGTTCTTCCATAATGGAATGGGCTAGTACAGAAGAAAGTGAATTGAACCGCCCTGGACCTAATGGCTTCTCACTGCTGATTTACGTTTGGAAAAAATGAATTTATGAAGCTTCGTGTTCTCGGTAATCTTCAATTGTCTCACTAATTACTAACTAACCCCATTTGTTGTTGAACATATAATTAAATAGAATAAAAAAGTTGAATTAAAATACAGAGAGAGATGGATGTATACATTATTCGATTAGATCTAACATTATTTCGAATTTAATAAAATTTCTTTTCAATTTATAAATAAAAATGGAAGCCATTATTGTTATTATTTTGGTCGTCTCTGTTTATAATGTTTAGTTTAAATTCCGATCTGGGTCTAGTATGAGCTGTATGATTATGATTGAAACAGTAATTGTTGTGGGAAATTCCCAACCCAAAGAATAGGACAAGATGCATGTGAAGTGGGGCTCTTTCTTTTTTGTGTTTTATTGGGTAATGTGATTAGCTCATGGCTTATGCTTTGTTGCTGCTGTTGTACACTTTCCAATTCAAATTTTACTTTTTAACCAATCTAAACCGTTAAAATGTAATTGACCAATGTCTTCGATCTCTGAAAAAGTAATCTCAAAAACGGCACCGAATTGTAAAGAGCTGGTTAGAAATTGGTTCAGATTAGTTTTGACTGGTTTTGACCAGATGCTTCTGTTTTGTTTTTGTTTGTGGGGGTGGAGGACAGTCAGTCTTGTCTCGTGAATCTAAAGAAATGATTAAAAAAAAAAAAAAAATCGACGGTTGATTTTTCGTTTCATTTTCACACGTAGCTTTGTTTTATGGACAAGATTGCGTATGGTAGCTGGTGTTAACTAGCATCCACACGACTTTTCTGATTCTACTAACTATGTTCACACTTCATAATTAATGTCTCCTAATTATGTGAGCCTGTCTCTAAGCAATAATTTTAATGCGGGGTTTGGTTAGACATGTAACATGGTCTATACAAATTAAAATCAAAGCCTGAAAAAAGAGATTAGTACAACCAGAAGAAGAAAATCTGCTTGATTGCCAGTCACACACGCAAATGTATTAATTAAAGAGAAGTACTTGATTCAAAATATATCTAAGGCCACGTTTACATTGACGTTGATGGATTCTAAATAATTCCGTTAAATCTATAGATTTGGTAAAATTCTTGTTTGGTTTATAAAAAAAAAAAAAATTAAAAATACATGAATTTTGAAAAATCTATCACCTTTCACGATCCTTCATTTTTTTAGGGTTTAAAATCTAACATAGTAGGTGGGATTTTACCAAATTTTGTTAATATTTTAATTTTCTAATACTATTCTTATTAATAATTTAATAACTAATAATTACTCTTTACTTTAATTAAAAGAAATATATTCGTCGTTTTCTCTTTTTAAGCTTTTCACATTTACATCATCAACATCTTCGTAGCATACTAGAGAGTGATTATGAGTGTTCATTTCTTTAGTTAATTATTTTTAATTTCTTATTTGCAAAAAACTTATTTTGTAATGCTTAGCGCTTTGTGACACTAATATGCTATGTATTTAATTAGATGAAAGTTAAATTTTTGTTAGTTTTGGATATAAAAGGTAGCTGAAAATTATTTATCAAATCCATGAATTGTATTCATCTAACCAAACACAAATGCATGAAAATTTGAATCAATAATCCATAGATTTTATATTTAAACCAAACAATAGAATTTATTTAATATATGGATTTTGAATCTATGAATTTTAAAATCCCCTGATCCAAACGAGACCTAAAATTTTGAAATTAACCATCATCAAGTTTTGTATTAAGGCTGAAGCAACAATAATGATGTCTAAAGACAACGAACTGCTCAAATTTATGCATTGTTCATTATGTGTCTGTAGTGCTTTAGGTTCTTCTCTGATCATAATGCTGCAATTAATTATGACTTTGAAATGGAAGAACGAGTAAAAACTTTCGTGTGGTTATAATTTAACGTAAGCTTCTTAGAATTGAGTTTTAAACCTTTAATGGGGCTGGTTTCATTAGTGATCTATCATGGCTTAATTACAGCCGACATCTGTGACTTTAAACTCCGTATAATAGGGGGAAAAGTTCTGCATAAAATTATCACAAGGGCAAATCGAAACAAGCCAAGTTGTGTCACATTTTGCCCCTCGGGTTAAAATTAAAACCGAGGGTCAGTCCAAAAATATCAATTGCAAAAGTTAATAAAATATGCAGGGTTAGTTTTCAAGAACAACCAACTATGACTATAAGGGTTATAAAAATATATACGTGGCCCAATGAGAAATAAGCCCAGTATTAAAATTTTTTGGGTGGGGTTGAATAGTCTCTTTGTGGGTGGTAAAGTAAAAGGTTGCTTGAAAGGTCAAATTAGTTGGACAGCAAAACAGAACCAACTGGTAACAATATGAAGTTGAAGGATTCAAATGGAATAGAATTTATATTAATATTCTTCGAAGGAATCTTTTACTTTAAGTTGGCTTCTGAGAAAGTACCATGCATGTACTATATAAAGTATACTTCTATTTTATTTTATATTTTTGTTTGTTTACAAAGTTTAGGAAGGGGGGGTGGGGGTGGGGGTGTGGTTATTATTTTATTCTTGTAATTAATAATGTTATATTAGTCATATTCAAACCCCCCAACATCAACATAAACATATAATCTTTAAACTAAAAACAGAGTGAAAATGAGAGAAATTCGAAAAAAATTAAAAAAAAACCACAGTACGCTGTCGTTTTCTATGATAAAAACCCAAAAGGTGATATTGGACCAAGAAATCGATAAGGGGCTAGTGAACTCAAACGGGCCAGATCAAAAATAGTCCCTAAATCGTCCAGGCCTGAGGCCTGCTTAAATTTAATCGAACCCGTATATTGATAGTCTTCGACTCCACTTTTCCACCTCTGAGCAAACACTAAAATAACAGAGGAGGAAGAAAAACTAAACCCAGAACCATTGATCGAGCTCTCAATTTCTGAAACTCTAACCACCCAGCTTCTGTGTTCTCATGCACAACTGGATCCACTGTATGCAATACCGACAATGGAGCATTTTTAGGCAACAGAATGGGGCCCTTAATAAGATAAATATGTATCTTATATTAAGTACAATCAAAGTAAACAGGGTCCAATTCATAATTATAAAGTAAACAGGGTCCCCAGCCTGTCCAGCCAGGCCTACTACCACAAGGCATGTCCGCAACCGCAACTAATCATCCTCATTTGAACTTGAGTATTCTTCTTCTCCGGGGTCCCTTCATAGTGACATTCAATCCATGACCATCCAACTGATTTTTTTTTCTAATTTTGCAGCTTAATTCAGAAACCAGAAACTTCAAAAACATAAATATGCTATTCAATAAGAGGCATTTTTTTTTTCTTACAGAAAACCGAAACACTGCTCAAGTTTTCCGGCAGCTGTTTCCACATCCATAAAGGAAGATTGGCATGATTGGATAACACAATGGGGCAAAATTAACATTCGCAATTCTTCCCCATCTGTCATTGATTTGTAAAACTGTAAAACCCCAAAGAGTGTAAAACCACAACAAAAATTAAAGCTTCAAGCTCAATGTAGACGTTGAGGAACTATGAACCAAAGTCGAAGATGAAGGAATACAACGTCTTTGTCTACTATTACTTCTGATCCCAGAACCCGAAGGACAAGATGACAATTGTTGACCAGAAAGAGGATCAGAAGAAGCTATGTATCTACTCGAATGGCTTCTCAATTTCTTCTTTTCTCCCTCTATAACCCGAACGTCTGATCTAACTTGCCGGACCTTTGTTTCATTCAACCCTGCTGGAAGAACGCAGTTGCAGAAGAAACCTGTCGAGTTTTGAAACAATAACAAATTAGCATAAATTTATTCCAGACACATTTTCTTGCTAAAGAAAGTAAGGGCACAAATTAACCAATTAAAGTAACTCAAATCCAAAAACATTATTCCATGAATTTGAAGCAATATCTAAGCAATTCATCTGGTAAAATCCGAGACAGTTAGTGGATTACCATCTATACTAGATTCAATACAGCAGAAAATGACCGCTAAATTTGATTAGCAAACTTCAAAAGGTACATAGAGCATATTAATTATAACTTGGTCACAAAATTATGCAGCCATATCCAGCAACATAGATCAATTTCCCTACTCATTCATCCCTATTGTATCAACATAACAATGCATTGAATCTTTTAGTTTGAGAGAAACGTTATAAAAAACTATACTGAATCTTAACACCGGGGAAACTATATATATCTGATGTTAAAAGCATTAAGTTTTTTTCCAAAACTAAGCAATTTCAATTTACAAAAAATGAAGGCTTTCTATGAAAGTTTTCTTACCCAAACGAGCAAGACGATTGACCCAGCGAGGGATTGGTTTCCCGGTTAACTGGAGACAAACATCGTTGCAAAAGTGATTGCAGTTCTTAGTGATGAGATGATAGGTGTTACCAGAGTAATCTTCTGCTAGTTTCTCCATAAACGAACGGACGTCTTTAGGCCCAAGATCTGTTCTACCAATCAAAATTGACTTCCTAAACGTGAAACCAGGACACTGCTTTGGCTCCACCTCAAAAATCCCCGTCGTTGAATGGTCATGAGCTCCAAACCCGTACTCAACTCCATGAACTAAACCAAAATTCATCATTCATTCAAAAAAAAAAAAAAATAATAATAATAATAATTAAAATTTCAAAAAAACAAAAAAGCTATAAACTTATGTACCTTGAACTCCAGAATGGTAGATCCCGAGTCCGAGCCAGTAAGCGTAGCCGTTAATCGGAGTCAAGTCGTAAACGTTCAAATAAACCGGAACCGACCCGCTCTTCTTTTTTCGGGGCGCCATCACCATTTTGCACAGCATTTTTGAGGTGGGAATCTTGTTTTGCTTTGGTTGGGTGGAAGAAAAGAGAAAAAGAGAAGATTTGAGTGACAGTGAATGAGTTGTTTGTAGGAAATTAAGGGAATTTTCAGAGGGTAATTTCGGGAATCGAGCTTCTTCGTATTCCCTTTATTTATTTATTTATTTTTTATTGTCAAGAATCTTCTACTTTGGTTCCACCGGCTGCTGCCGAAAGCGAACCCACCGTCTACCTATACTCGTGTCTTCGTCTCTTTATACAGACTTAATTTCCATTAATATTAATTAACTAATTATTTTACTTGATTAAACGTACAGTTATTGGCTGGAGTGTGGTCTCTGTGGGCCCAGAGCATTCCTGCTAATTACCTTATTAAATAAAAATTAGTGGATTAATTAAGTTTTAGGATAAGTGGAATGGGAGAATCTATTTTTAGTAATACAAAAGTTAACTTAGGTTCCAGACTTCCAGCGGCAGTCCAGTCACGAGTCAGAACACGCGCCTTACATTACAGTAAGCTTTTTTACACGAGCTTTTTGCTCGTGCTTGTGCGTTAAGGTACTGGTGTTTAATTTTTAATTTAATTTAATTTAATTTGATTATTAATAACTAACATTGTTGCATTGATTTTGCCACTTAATTAGTTCGGATTTTACGTTATCCAGAATCTGATAGAGATTAACAACGATATTTGTAAAAGTAAACAACTTTTTCCCACCCAAAGTTTTGCCTAATGACACTTCTCCCACAAAAAAAGTTTTAAAATACAATTTTACCTTTTGTGTTAAGATCAATTTGTCAAGTTTAATAGAAAAAGGAATTGAAGAGTGATGTTGTGTGTTGATTTGAAGATTTTGTGTGAAAGGATTGTGGTGGAAAGGTTGGGTTCGATTCTGATAAATCGATTGGAATCGCAACAAAAATCAGAGTTAACGAAGGAGAAAAAAGAAAAGGGAACGGATTTCCCTAACGGACCATAACAGTGAGTGAGAAAAATCTCGTTTTAAAACCTGACGGGTGGGAAAAGTGACATTAGGCCAAATCTTTTGTTGGAAAAAGTCGTGTACTCTATTTGTAAAATATCCAAGTGTATTTTTTTTCCAGGGGCAGTCAATTGAGTGTCAAACCGAACAGTAATTGACTAGAAGTAGTGGCGTGTGATGGGGTTGGCATTAGTCTATTTTGGCTGGATTATTATTATTTTAATTTGATTTAATTGCGTCATGGCATTGGCATAACATCATCATCACCATCATCGGAATATCTTATAACAGATAATGAAATTAGTAATTTAGAAATATGGTCAGGGTGCATTCAATAAATTTAATAATGTTATGATAAAATGGGGGCACGATAGGATAATGATAATAAGACGATGGAGAAAGTGAAATTATTGTTGGTAGTGGATGTCGGGTAAGATAGGGCCCGCCCACAACATGAAAATCCAATAAGGATTAAAGAAATAAATAATTGCCATTATGAAATGCCTGAATTGGACTGGACTGGACTGGACTGATCAACACCATGTGACGTTTTGATGGGAGAGCGAAGGACTCTGTACTTGCTTTGAAATTGTTAACGAATTTTAGCCCACGGTCATGGCCCATCGCTTAGAGCTATGGGACTATTCTCAATACGGAAGGTTTACTAAATGTGACATTTAGGTGTACGACGTGTCGGTCGTTGCTACGAAGTGTGAACAACAAACCGTGTAGTTCTCTTGCAGATGTAGGGCATGTCGGTTTGGTTTCAATGACTAAGACAAAGCCCAGTTGCTTGGCTGAGTTACTCAAAAACCCAAAACAGCATTCAGTATCATGGCACGCTTCTTCATTCAATCAGCTAGAAAAACCCTTTTATCTTCCTCCACTGTTTCTAAAACCCTAATTCATGGACTCCAACGCCACCATGGCACACCTTCCATCCAATCACGGAACGCCCCCTCAACATTTCTCTTCCAATCCCGATACTATGCAACTGACTTAATTACCAAATCGCCCTTCGAAGCTAACATTCTCAGAATCCTCCGTAACGAGATTGACTACCAGTCCGAGTACGCCCCTCCTCATCAGGTAATTACATTTTTCTTATTTCGTTTAGCTGCTGTTTGTTTCCCGGGAAAATGAATTTTTTTTTTTTCTCTTAAATTCGGAAATTTTATTAGCCTGCTACGAAATTCAACTCGTTTACTGTCGAAGACCGAGCAGGAGAGCAATGGGTGATTATGAACAGAAAATCTGGAGACAATGAAGATATTAAAATTGAAGTTACAATGTTTGACGGCTTGGTCTCTGTTCCTAAAGTGGGAGACGATAGCACTGGTGAAGATGTGCGTCTTCACATTAGTGTAATTGTTGATATTTCCAAGGCTGATGGCTCTGATTTTCTGGAGTTCGTGTGCTCAGCGTGGCCAGACGCTTTAGAAATTCATAAAGTTTATGTGCTTAGTCGTGATAACAAGCTGGCCAGGCCTTACATGGGACCTCATTTCAGGTAATCTTGGAAGTTTAAGATGTATTACATTGTGTTTTCTTGGTTAGTTTTAGTTTTAATTTGTTGTAATGTTTGTTTGTTTGTTTTTTTTGTTTTTAGGAATTTGAGCGGTGAGCTTAGGAAGACGTTACGCGAGTACTTAGAGGCAAGAGGGGTAAATGATGAACTATCTGTTTTCTTGCATGAATATATGATGAACAAAGATAGAATTGAACTTATTAGATGGTTGGGAAATGTTAAATCTTTTGTTGAAAAATAGAGGGATTTTGCTAACCTTAACCGTTGCTCACTATTTAATTTTAATTTTGCATTGATTAACAATAAGTTGTATTTGAGAGCTATTACCATGGTTCTATTGCCAGCTCTTTTGAATGCTTGGAATGCAGCTACCCAAAAATGAATTACTTGAAGTAGTTCCTTTTATATGTTAGGTTTTCTTCGCTTTTGAATGTCTAGTATTAATGAAAGATTGGTATGGGAAGTTGAACTATTTGATTTTACTTTCATCAAATTAAGCAGTGGGTTAAGGTAAGGAGTTGGGAACTACTTATAACAGGCTTCCTTACCACCTGGTAGTTGGACTCTGAATTGAGTTCTTGTAATGGTAAAACTGCATCACACTGGGCTTTATTCTGATTTAAGGTAAGGAGTTGGGAACTACTTATAACAGGCTTCCTTACCACCTGGTAGTTGGACTCTGAATTGAGTTCTTGTAATGGTAAAACTGCATCACACTGGCCTTTATTCTGATTTTTGTTGCAATACCCTATCTAATTGGATACCATCTTTATGACCTCTTATGTACTTTGATCACTTGTGACTGACAACCAAGGTACCTATAAATGTTCCATAGGTTTTGGTTGTGGTGCAGGATCTGACTGCTTAATGCTCTTGATGAACTTATTCCTAGTGGAATTGGGAATCAAGGGGCAGACTCCACCTATGTTGACTTAATGGATGAAATTCAGACACATCATAGCTCACTCATTATGGTTGTATACCTATTGTTTTGGATGCGTGTGTCTTGTCCACTCATAGAATATGATTGCTTTGGTTATGTGAAAGTCTGCTACTGAGATTTGAGTAATCTAGTCAGATTATACCGTGTCATTTCATGCTGATACTCCTTTATGTTATGTGTTCATGAATCGTAAAAGTATTACATGCATGCATATTGACTTCTAGTACATCAAAATATGCTAAAGGTCCCACTTGGAATTTTGAATAACAAGGCACTACTATTTTTTTTGGCTACATTTGGGTGAAGATCCAAGTGGTAGATTATATGCATGACCAGGCTCTCATTGCACTATGATTGAATCACTTTTTCCTACTCTTGAAAAAGTGAGTGTTTCTGTTCCAGAAACCATGGGTGTTAGATATTTTCCCTGTTACCATTTCGTGGCTGAAGTGAATCATATTTAAATGGGTTTGAGACACAATAACTGTTTTGTGATGGTGACACAGTGGACTGTACATGTTATCCTCTGTTTATGAGCCCACACCACGGCCCGGTTCTAATCTTTTAGGTGCTATGTCATGGGCAGTGGGTGTTAAGATGTTAAAAGGGTTAACTTATTCATTACAATTAAATGGAATCATTCCTCGAGTATGTGAACAAATGCAAATATGAATTTCTTGAGTTGTTTGCTCTATGTTATATCCACTGTTTACACATTCCTGCTCTTAATATTTCCTATCGATTCTGTTATAAGTCTATTTGATACAAGTGAACATTTCATCTGGTATGTGAGTTTGTTGAGTCATCGGCTCTAGTGTGCTTCTACAGTATCATTCTTTCTTATGTATTTACTTCTGTTAGCACTGCATATCAAATTTTGTATATCAAGTCTAATAAGTACTTATGACGTCATGTATTAGATAAAGAGAAACACATTATACTTTCTATAACTTGGCATTATTATTCCTATCCTTGCAATACTGCATTTGTTTGCTCGGGATTCTTTTGCACATATTAAACTCCATTAATCTTTGTTAGAGTGAGCTCTGATGCTTTCATACTTAGTTTGTAAATAGTAATTAGATTGTACTGAGTTTGTATCTGGAGCGTAAATAATCTGTAATACTTTACTATTGAGATCATTCAAACGTCATTACTTGAGCTTATATGTTGTTAAGACTAAAGTAGTTTTAAATGAAGGTTAGACTAGGCTGAAAACTAGACGCTGCCTTCTGTATATTAGTTGAAAGCTTATGTATTAGTTGAGGTTATATCTTTTCAATAGGACATCAAGAGTGAGATGAATTGTGGATTTGCTACACCAATTCCTGTGTCAGCGTCATTAATTTTCTTTCTTGGGGTTGGGGGAAGAACTGTGGCTAATGTTGGTCATGGCCTCCTGTATAGTGTTTCTTAGATTAACATTGTAAGTTGTTGTGATAATCAACAGTCTTATAAAACATATATCTCTTTGTATTTTTTCTTTTGCCTGAAAGCCTTTTCAGGTTGTCAAATAATTGTTGCTATATATTGTCTTTCAAGTCAAAGCCTCTGGCCTGGGATTACTGGTGTTTGACGTAATCTTGCCTAAGGTTGTCCTGTGAGGTCGTAATATCCACTGCAGATACCTATTTAGAGAATATAAGTTTTGATTCAAGTTTGATCTCAAACTTGTTTGGATGGAAAAATCAAGTATTAAATGAAGGTAAAACTGGGCTGCAAATTGGACTCACCTTTAAATACATCAGCTATCCCAGTGACTATTTTTTCTCAATGGAAGGTTTAGAGTGGGCTGAATTGCGGATTCAGCTGTACCAATTCCTGTATTAGAGTCATCAATTTTCTTTCCTAGGGGGAGGGGCTAATCTCGGTCATGAACCCTTGTATAGTGATTATTTTGATCTAGGACTGGAAAACTAAGTAACAAGTGGAGGAACTTCAAATTTACTTTTAGTTTTTACTAGTAAGATGCTATTAAAAGAAATATTTAAGTCTAGACAGAACATATGGCAATACTATGGTGGTGCCTGGTAAGATTGTCAGGCTTGAAGTACATATGTTGTATCATTTCAGGCAAATCGGCTGAGGTAGGTGGTGCCATTTCCATTTCCATGTTCAAAATTGATTGTACCAATCCCCAGTATTAGATCTTTCTGTTGACGAAAAGATTGCCAAATTTTATGTGATGGAGACTTGTTTGGCTGATGATGAGTTGGGACCCGACTTCAACAAATCATTCTTTAGTTAATATTAGTAAAAGGCCTATGCTCTTTTGGTTTATAACGCTGATGTTTGTACTTTATGATATAATGAAAACAAATTGTTGATAAATCTCTATATATATTGCTTTCTTTAGCTAAATCTATTATAACTTAGAGACAGAGTTGGCGTAGTAATAGATTTTTAACTATTATAATCACTGTTTTGTTCTTTAATATCATGTTTAATCATCATCATATATTTTTCTTTCTTTTCCTTCTTAACCCTGTACTTATAAACTAAACTCTCTGATGTTCCCAAAGGACTTAACGTCTTTGTCAAAAGAAATAATGATAATAACAGTAGAGAGAAAGAGATAGAGATAGAGATAGAGATAGAGAGAGAGATTTAGACTCCTCACTTTGGTGGTGCCTATTGGTTTGTGGATGCATGGCTTCTGTCCTTTTTTAGTTATTGACGCATACCATGTTCTTAAAAAGGCTCTTCGGCAATGTGAATATGAAAAGTGCTTATTTCTTAATCCTATTACTATTTACTAGAATAGTCTTTTAAGTCTTGGTCCAACAGTGAAGAAAAAATGAGCTGGCCTATTACTTTACGCATCATGGCCTCCATTATTTGAGATGTCTCATTCATTTTTTAAAAACAAAAATCTGGGACGTCATTCAAAATTCTTAGTTATCCTTTGACTGTTGCGTGCTTTTGTATTGTTATTGCTAGTATGGTTTCACGTTTCCAGATTGCTGATCTTTCGGTGGCCTAAAGCAACATCCAAAAGGTGAAGGGAGGGGTTCAAATGAAACCAGAGTACCAGACCAAAACAACAACAACAACAGCTTCTTGTGGAAGAAGATAAAGGAAAACCAAACACGCTCACGGCTGTTTGGTGCCAAACTCTTTTTAGTTAGTTGAAGCAAAAGGGTTTGCAATAGCATTACACCAACACCAACCCAGAGAAAACAATAGGTAATTTATTATGAAATTATGTTAGATGTGATGCAATCGAGGCTGACTATCATAATATTTTAATATTCAATCAAATCTTTTCTAGATTTACAGATGAGTTTGTGAAAACGACACAGTACACGCTCTTTCATACAGGACAAAATCAAATATACAGTTATACACTCCTTCAGGAAAAAAAAAATATTAGTGCAGGTCGTATTCTAAGATTAAACAATATTACTTCATAAAGTTATCCAATCTATTGGGTTGACAGCTCTTCACTTATTCCATGTTACTCCTATCCCATTGGTCATTTTAATGCTTTGTTTAATAATATAAGAGGAAAATAAGCTGTTTCTGAATAATTTTCGGATCTTTTTAACTGTTAAAATGTCATTATTGGAAGATTTTCATGATGTTGAATCTACAGGATCTTCATATTCTGGCCCAATTAATTGGATTCATGAAGTTTTATATAATAATGTATGCTAAATTGGAAGTTGAAAGTGAACCATAATTGAACTAAACCATCAATTCTTGAAGTGAAGTTGATACTTGGCACATGGATTACGCTGCTTAAATGAGATAGGTTATTGATTATTATATTTTTTTTATATATATATCTTGTCTAGCCGTGCAAGTTTTCATAGACAAACACCTAATGTTTTATCGTGATTATAAAATAAAGGGCTAAGATTTGAAAATTCTGGCTGTTGGGTAGCTAAAGTTGAGGAAATAACCTCAAATCTTTAGAGCTTTCTGCAACTTTTTTTTACAAGATTCTATGTCTTCGTGTCATGCTTAAGATGCTACACACAAACCAATATGAACTCTCACAGGTTTCAATTAAATACAAATTTAAGTTAATTGGAATATATAGCTAGCTCTTAGAACAAATGAAAAAGAAAACCTTTCTACAATCAATATACACAATAATTAATTACTCTCAAAATTTAAGAGTAAACAAAATCTCAATCAAGAAATTTCAAAATTAAGTTAAAAAAAAAAATTATAATAATTATAACACTAATTAAAGAGAAACTTAATTAATTAGAGCTTGAGAGACAAATCGAGCTTCTGCATATCTTCCTGACTAGAACTCTTCAAACCACCACCACCACCACCACCTTTCCACCAATTACAATTACTAGTGGTTTGATCATCCACCTGAGAAGAACCCGTCATAGTTCTGAAAGAGTTGAATCTACCAACACTAGCTCGAGATGACGGTCCTGTTGAACTTGCATGAAAATTCTCCATTGATAATCTTCCTATCGCTGGTTGTTGTTCAATAGGAGGCCTACACCAGTTGTCGTGTCCGTACGTATTGCTGATTCCATGACCGGATGATATGTGATGAGTTGTTGGCTTATGGATCATTGAGTGCACTTGAATTCCAAGAGACCTATTATGTCCACCGTGAAGAGGAAGAGAGGATATGCTAGAGTAGTGATTGTGATGCAAATTATATGGTTGCCCAAAAGCAATGGCTGAGGCTGCTGTGTATGTCGTGCCTATTCTTTGTCCTCTTTTCGCTAGAGTTCTCTCTCTTTTATGAGCATTTTGGTGTCCTCCCAGAGCTTGTGAACTGTAGAATTTTCTTTGGCAGTAGTTGCATGAGAAGACTCTTTGCTCAGCTTGATCGGTAGATTGAGGAGTACTTTCTGAACAAGTTTGAGAAGAACCCATGTTGTTTAAGCAGTCAATGAGATTGAGCTCTTGATTTGGATCACTTCTATTGAGGTTTAGATCGAATACAAGAGTTTGTTTTCGCTGATCTTGTTCTTCATGATCCTTCACTTCTTCTTCATCTTCTTCTTCCTCTAAAACTATTACTTGCTTCTTCTCCTTTGCGTTCTGACACGGGGGAACTTCCGTTGTAGAGATGATGCTTGAAGCCTCTGAAGGACTTGGATCTTTACTCAGAGATTCCATATAAGAGAACAAATTAATGCTTGTTTTCTCTCTTGGTTTATTGGTAGATTATGAATTGTTGGACATTTACTACTTGATAGCAAAAAAAAAAAAGGATAATATCTTTTGATGGGAAGTATAAATGGTTTGTGCTATATATGGAAGGATAAACTATTCCCAGAACAGTAATTTAAAAAAAAAAAATAATAAAAAAAAAAAAAATCATTAAGATAACTAGGTCTAGTTGGGTTTACTTTTTGTCAAACACTTGCATAAATTTGGAACTCCAACATGTACCTACTAGTTCTATCCATTATAGGACTGACACATCTAATCTCATGTTATAAATTTCTCACTTCTTTACTGCATCTTAATTCTCAGTTTGACTGCATGCTCATGCTCATGCTCATGCTCCTGCTCCTGTCCTGCAACTAAATATATGCAGTGCTACTTGGGAATTTCGAGATTCTAAAATATGCTTTTAAAGTGTTGTGATCTCTTTTTCTCTACTTGCACAAATCTGTTGCCTGTTTGGAGTGTTTTATGATATAATGTGGAAGCGCATAAAAATATCATGCGGGGCCAAAAGTAGACCACACAACACTCCTCGTGTGTACTTGATCTCCATCAATCAGGGTCACTATGTCTCTTGTTTATATACCTTTTTTGCTTCTTCCTCTTTTGGGCTTTGGCAGCTTCCTTGGAGTTCTCAGATTACTCATTTTTAATCAAACACCTTACAACCTAACTTCTTTCTTTTGGTATTCTACATATATTATATTATTCGATTATATCAAACCAATAACTACAACTCTATGAATGAGACAACAGAACTCTAATAAACTTTTTGCAGGAGTAGTCTACCTAAAATATTTAACTCAAAGCTCAGTTGAGACTTGAGATAGTGAGATACCCACTTCCACTTTCCATCCCCAGATTGGTGGACACAAAATTTAGTGGAATATATGAATATGAATGAAGCAAGTCATGGGAATGGGATTATACAAATGAATTTTGTAGGTAGCTTAGAAGTCAGAAGGCACTGTTCTTTTTCTGGGTATTTCTTAAAGTTAAAATTCTATCCATATAATAAATGAAAATGGAAAGGTCACTAAGGTAAGAAGCTTAGCTTAGATGTCATGATCTAAAGTAGTTTGTCGTATGTGCCGTGAATGGTGGGGACGATGAAGAAATGGCCGACAAAGAAATGTTAAAGCCTATGTGGAGTCCCTCTCCTCTTCATAGTGCATGCTATCTAATTACATATATAAATGGATATTATTACTTTAACTTAAACAAATCCCCATAATTAACTCTTGAGATCTTAAGCATGATCTTAACTTTTACTTATATAATTATTATCTCTAACCATAAGTCATTTTTAGCCAACTCCTTTGATCCAATCAAAACCCCACATGGAAAAGTTTGAAAATAAAAAAGAAGAAGAAAAAAATAGGCATGAGTGGGATTTTGGCATTTTACTTTGTATTGGTTTATACAATACAAAACACCCCATATGATTCTATAGACAATTAACTTGTCTAATCAAATTCAACCAAATCTCTTTATGAGATCTCTTTGTCTCTCTTAAACAACTCCCCACATATCAAAACCCTTTCAAAAAGAAAAGATTGCCACCCAAGTTCCCCATCACTCACTTCCACTTCTACTCATCACTCAAACCCATGATCAATTTGTACATTTGATTTTACTCATCTCCCTCTCTCTCTCTCTCTCTCTCTCTCTCTTCATAACCTCTGCTCTTTGACATGACATCCCCAATAGCCCCAAGTTGGCATAATTGAGTTTACAAATAGAGTAAATGACTTTTTCCCACCCAAGGTTTGCCTTAATAACACTTTTTCATTGAAAAAGTTTCAAAATACCACTTTTCTATCTAAAGTTTGTATTCCGTTAATGCCTAATATACACTTCAATTTCTTAGTATGCGTTCGGCGAGTTATCAGGAGCAAGGGGTAAGAGATGTTTTATAGAGTGGAGGCCAGTGGATCAAATGGTGGTGATCGATTAAATATTCATCGTCGGAATTAACGGGAAATCAGCTAAAAACAAGAAACCCTAGCGTTGTGGTGGTCGAAAATCGATGAGAAATCAGGTGTCGGAATGAGAAGGGTTTTATAGAGAGGAGACCGAAGGTTCAAGTGGTTCTGATGGAGAGAATTTTCGCCACCGTAATTGGCTTTGAGTAGTAACAGAATATTAACTTTGGGTGGAAAAGTGGTATTTTAAAACTTTTTGGGTGGGAAAGTGTCATTAAGGCAAACCTTGGGAGGGGAAAAGTCGTTTACTCTTACAAATACTAAAAATCTTCTTATCTGTTTTTGTTGCTCATCACCTTTTTTCCATATCCTTTTGTTTGTGGTTTCACTTCAGTTATTCTTTTTCCTTTTTATCTTTTTTTAAGTTTACTTTTTTCTATCTTGAGATAAAGAATGCCTTTATTACCAAGTTGGCATAACTGAGTTTAAGGAAACTAAAATTCTTTAATCTTAGTTGCTCTATTGACAAATCATTATATATCAAAGTCTATACTTTGTTGACAGGCTTACCATTAATCAGATCAACTATAGTTTTGCCATTTTTGGGCTTTCTGCCCTTTTCTGGGTTTAGGGCTTGACCCAATTTCATTGTTGGGCCGAAGAAAACATCATCCCTGGCTCCCTTTCGAAAAAAAAAAAATGCCATAAACAGTGGCTTATTGTAGTGTTTTCTTGATGTGTTTACTACTTTTTAGTTCTAATGTTTGTCCTATCAACTGTGAAGCAGGCGAAATTCAGATTGAAGCAAATTTAGAACATTGGGTTGGATGAAGTAAAATAGAAAGTTTAGACCAATAATGAAATAGACCAAATTATTTTTTAAGAGTCAATATCCTAAGGCATAAGATCAGCTGAGTTGTGTCCTCACATTTCCATTAACAAAATAGTTTTATCTATTTCATACACTTAACTATTCATTCACTGGCTAACTCCTAGTTTGTGGCCTTGCATTATGTAAAGTGTTTTCCAATTCAAATATTTTGAAATCACGAAAGCGATGTCTACAAGTAAAAGAATTGACATTATAAGAAATTATAGTCATACGTCAACGTTTGTGCCTTTCATTTTCAGTAAAGACATTTGCATGTGGACAGTAGAAAGAAATTTCATTTATTTTATAATCATTAACGTTGAAATTAAGTTAGCTTTCATGTCCAGATTCATCCAAAGATAGACCGACCTCTCTTTGGCTTCTCTTTGTAATTGTAAATTGGCCTGCATAATTAAGTCCAAACTCTCCCTTCCCTTCGGGAACAACACTAAAATTAAATTCCAACCCAACCGGAAAGCAACATAGCCTGTCGATTTTACCAAGTTTGTGTCCTCTTTATATATATATATATATATATATGCGCTTCTTTCTCAGCTTATAATCTCAACAATGGCCTTCTTAAAATTCATGTCACTTCTCATTTTTGTTATCATTTTCACTGTTGCCAAGAATTGTGATTCATTTTCCTTGGCAATACGTCCAAATCTTCCTGGTCCTGGGCTTGCTCCAGTGTCCAATGAACCCGTTTATCCTACACCTTCCTATCCTCCGGGCCCAGGTCCGGATCCTTATGGCCTTTACCCTTCAAGTCCTTATCCAGTAGAGCCAGCTGCGAGTCCTGCTGTGGAGGTACCCACTTCTCCACTGGCTCCGGTTGTACCGGGACCAGGTCTGTTTCCAGATCCTTACCCACCCACTTCTGGATTCGCTCCAATTTCTAGCCCACTCGAGCCCATGTGGGCACCTTATCCATCTCCTCCTAAACATAGTTCTAAAGGAATCAAAGCAGCTTATTGGCCCTCGTTTGATGATTTTCCTGCCTCCTCTATTGACACCTCTTATTTCACTCACATTTATTATGCATTCATTTTACCCGAACCGGCCACTTTCAAGCTTAATGTTACCCAACTTGACCTAACAAAAATACCCGAGTTAATAGACACACTTTGCGCCAAAAACTTGCCTATTAAGATTTTATTATCCATAGGAGGAGGTGGTAATGACCCCGATGTTTTTTCGAAAATGGCTAGTACCAAAGAAACACGTGCAACTTTCATCAATTCAACCATTGAAATAGCTAGAAAATATGGTTTTGATGGTGTTGATTTGGATTGGGAATTCCCTGCTAATGATCAAGACATGTCAAATCTTGGGTTATTATTTAGACAATGGCGAAAAGCTTTAAATCATGAAGCTAGAACAAGCAGAAATTCACGTTTATTACTAACTGCTGCAGTTTATTATGCTTCTAAATTCACCACATATGGTGAGCCTCGATCATATCCAGCAGATGCAGTTAAAAATTATGTTGATTGGGTGAGTCCAATGTGTTTTGACTATCATGGTTCATGGGAAAATTTTACTGGGATACAGGCAGCACTTTATGATCCTAACAGCAATATAAGTACTAGCTATGGAATCGGGTCTGGATTCAAGCCGGGGTACCGCCCGAGATGTTGGTCATGGGCCTCCATTATATGGACGCACATGGAAGCTCAAGGATCCGATGTTAATGGAATTGGAGCTCGGCATTAGGGGTTGGGCCTGGAGCTGGCTCCTCACTTTCAATCAAATTGTTGACTTCAACACAGCTAATGTCAACTGTTAATTTGATGAGGAAAGGTTGGATATTATTCTGTGGGGATTCTTGGATAGGGTACGATGATGTGGGTCGGTTAAGAGGAAGGTCCGGTTCGCGAAGTCACGGGGCTTGGGTGGATATTTCTTGGGCTCTTGGCCAAGATAAGGACTGGACAATTTCGAGACAAGGTTAATAAAATTATCTAATTATTCCTCTAATAAAAATATGTAATCACAAATTGTATAGCTAATTGACGCTGATATATGTTTTATTTGTATTATATTGGCAGCTTCAATTCCTGGAGACGTTGATAGCTTTCAGAAGTCCACTGGATTCAATTTGTTTGATGCTTTTTTTTTTTTTCTCCAGGGTTTGCTTGTATCTTCCTTTGATTAAATCATTATTTCAACGATTAATGGTGAAGAACGATGCTAATGATAATTAACAAATAAATTACAGATTATACGCACAAACTAAAAAGGAT